ACCATAGTATCCCCAAATAACCCTAAACCCCTAAACCCTATTGGGTACCAGAATATCCCCAATATCCTGAAGCTTTACCTGGAGGCTCCGCGGGCGGCGGCAGCGGCGGCTCCTCGTTCGAGGGCGGTGACTGCGTGTCGGCGGCCTGGTGTCGCCATGTTCTGTGGGAGTCCTACGTTTACAAACAGGGTCCCAGTGTATACCACTGAAAAAAGGTCAGAATTGCAAGAACTTCAAGAATGTGGGAGTTCACCACAAGCAAGGTTGGGGGAACATCCTGAAAATCGATAGTTTAGCTATGAGGGTGGCTATGTATTCCCATTGTATCGCTGAGACCGCCTAACCCAGTGTCTTGACAAAAGCCCTCTGGAAGCTGCCCAGAAGGAGGAACCCCTGCTTAGGTGTCAGTACTTGCGGCAGCAGATGAAATTGCACGCTTGAGGTACAATGTCGAAGCTTATAATTAATAGAATGAGGATCGGGGTACATTTTAATAGATACGTGGAGGGGGGGCTCAGGAAATAGGTCGGGACCCATTTCGGGGTGGTCTACTTCACAGGGGAAGTCCACCACCGTGCCGTTCATCACGTTGGCAGCCGTTCATGTTGTATTTGCCTCAATGGGGTTTCCAGACCTATTTCACCACTGTGCCAAAAAAATGTCCGGCGATGGAGGCTCCAACCGTTCCCTCCCCGCGTCCCAGACCTATTAATTATCAAAAAGGAGGGATCGCACAAGGATTACAAGGAAATGATCTCAGTAGTTGTTCAGGCTTCCACATTATACCTTTTACTGCATTTTATGTTTGGAGACTACCCTGTCTGCGGCTTGAGCACAATTTGATTTCCTATCACACTTTTTCATCCCATCATCCCCATTGAGATAAGCGCAATGTTGCTGAACAGCTCTCAGCATTTGTTTCCCCATGTATGATGATAACATACCATACATTCAGTATACCTTGCAGCGTTTTGACTGCTTTTCGGGATGAAGGTCTTTTTGGGGGGCTCGCCTAAACCTTAAACCAGGGTGCCGTCTTCTCCACAGTATCACAGCTTCTCCCACAAGAAGTGTCTACAGCTTCGACCCATCTTCTCAACCCTTTGGGGCTTCGGGTTTAGGGTAACCCTGACTCCTAAACTCTAAACCCCCTGAAGAACCCCTAGCAGGGACAACATCATCCCTTGAAACTCCTCATATATCTCTGGATTTTTCAAGGGACCCTTTTTTGGAGCAACACCCCCTATTATTCCATCTTCCTAAACTTGCTGGCTGTTAGTAGGAATGAAATGGATCTCTATGGCCACAAATCATATGATAGCTTCCGTTGACCTTCCATTCGCTTAGTTCATGTTACAACCAGCAAGTAAACTGCACCACAGACCCCCACCTGGCTGGGTGCGGAATCCACGACCACCTCATCGTTGGTACCGGGGCCTGCGGACAAGTGTTTGAGGCTCAATGTGCTCTGTGTTGTGACTACTTGGGCAACAGTTTACTGCTCGTGTTGCAAAGATTCCTACCCTCCCTTTGTTGCTGACTTTGACGGCGTTTGACTGGCATGTCTGTACCTGCTCATCACAACTCTTTACCTGCGATTTCAAGTCACTCCCCGTAATCATGGACCCACCCCTTAAATGCTACTTCCCCGGTATAATCCTGTACCTATGGACAAATTAACAGATGAAGAGGACATGATGTTCCTAGAAATTGAAAATATTACATGTGCTGCGGTTCTTTTGACAACGCCAAACATAAAGGTAAGGTACGATCATTGTCATTTTACAGGTACATATAGAGGAGCGGCACGCAACAAGTTTAATCCGCCTTAAAATACGCGTTTTATTCCATAATCTTATTTCAAATGTATGATGCGCATTGAAAAGTATCTATCCTTGACAGGCTTACTAAAATTCTACGGGCTATATAAATTCATAGCACAAATTAATGAAAAGGGTTACCTTTCCCCTTAGGCAGCTTGAGTTTAACCATAGCTTGAGTTTCTCGAGTTCTTCCTTAGATAAGCTTGTCAAACTAAAGATGGGGATAATGCTAAACGGGATGACTGGACGACACATTCTAAATACAATTTGGCATTCGCCGAAGAATTGCAGTCAGCCGAACAGTAAGATGAGTAACTATATCAAAGATGATTGCAAGCCGGATATATTAACGGATAAAGGTATATGTCCTTACTACTATGTGCATGACGATAACAAACTCAACGAAGCAGAACTACCTAAAAAACGGATTTTCATAGTCAGCTAGCTGAAGAAAATGTAACGAATGAAGATTTTGAATGGGCTGCCCATACATGGAAGCACTTTAACAAGGATGCTGTATCATTAGCTGATGTTTGCGAAACTTTCAGAACTCAATGTCAAAAAGATTATGAAGTAGACCCTGCACATATGTTCACATTACCTACTTTCGCTTGGGATGCTATGGTATTAAAAGCTGGTGTAACACTAAATTTAATGCATGAAAAGGGTATGTAGAAAATGGTTGAAAAGGGCTGTGGAATATGTCAATGCTCAGGAAAGAAAACAGAGGCTAACAAAAAATACATGGATGATATGTACAATCGTAAAAAACCTAGCCGTTGCAGAACTGATCTAAATGCTGAGAATAACCTATATGGTCTAGCAATGTGTCAGAAACTACCGTATAAGGACTTGCAATTTGTTAAAGGTAATGTTACAGGCAATGATATAGACGACTTTAATGACACAAAACTGCTGACATATTCAGCAAAACACACAAAAGCGCTTTACACATCGTACAAATATACTGCACAACCACAAGATGAAAATAGAGGAATACTACGTGTTGAAGATGAGTTTAACTATGTGACACCCATATTTTTACAAAAACTACCTGCAGCAAGGTTTAACAACAAAGAAAACTAGCAAAGTGTTACAATTTAAACAAAAGGCTTGGTTAAAATGGTTAAAGCCGTGGATTGATTTTAGCACAGATAAATGCAAACATGCAACCTGATTTTGAGGCATAGATAAATGCCGGTTGTGGAAAGACAGGGGGAAATGTGAGAGAACACATTATTTTGAACGTTGATACACCTGAAGGTTCTCAAAAGGACCCTTGTGTTTCATTTAGGCGTATCATTCACAATGAACTGCAGTAGGAGTTGAAAAGATGAAGGACGCGGCTAAATTGACTAAGCTAGTATATGTAGGAACGAGGATTTAAGTAAGCTGCAAATGTACAAGTTTCATTATCATGCATTAAAAGACAAGTGTAATGACGACATTACGTTAATGTATACGGCTACAGAAAGCCTCGTGAAACAATAACACATTTTAATAATATTCAAGCCTGAAAGTTATGCTACATAAGTATATGATTAAGAAATCGAAGGGAAAAGCCATAAATGCGCTCCTACGTTAAAAACGTCTAACGTATTTACAAACACTTAAAGAAAGTTAATGTGGTGCACTACTTCTAGCAGTATAAGAACTAATCAGCATCGAGTATCTTCTACACAACAATCTAAAAAGTGCTAAGTCTAAGTAGTTATGATAATAAAACACCAGCCCCTAACCCTAAACCCTAAACCACCTTCTGGAGCGGGGACTGCTCGATTCACCGAAGCCGCTGGGACAGCCGGAGCCGCTGGTGGGGGCATCTCCTCCAAAGGTATCCCCGCGTTCGGAGTGAAGGGTTCAAGGTTTAGGCCCTACACCCTAATCCCTAGACCCCTCAAACCTAAAGGTGGGGATACAACCCAAGGGATTGAGCCTGGGTGTGTGCTTGAACGACAGTCGGTTTAGGGTTTGGGATGTAGGGTTTAGGGTCTGGGGTTTAGGGTTTAGGGTTTGGAAAGCCGTACACTTGGGAGCTTTATGGCCCTAGACCCTAAACCATTTTAGCAGTAAGCCAATTTTGAATGATAACCTCGATGCAACCCTTGATAAGCTATTTGATAAGCGGTTCCTTAACCCGTTCGTGACAGCAGGGTCCCACAATGTATCTGAACCATACCAGTACCTGGAACCCTATTACTTGCAGCTTCGTCACTATTAGTGCGTAATTAGTATGTGTAACTTTGTAACCCATAAAATTTTTGGTAATTAGGATTACCGAAATCCCTGCATACCCGATATCTCGCTGTATATCGGCCACTTGGGGTCATAGTGCCCCTCTAGAATATGGCTTTGGGTATATCATAATAAGATACCCATATACCCCACATTCTATCTACTTAAGGGGACTATACACCCTAACTAAACCCTAAACCCTACATAGTAGTTTCCATTTTCTGTTCCGTTATCCCAATATAACCCCAATATAACCATCTCTATTCTGAACCCTAAACCCTAAATAATGTGGTAGTTCCCACTTTCTTTTGTAAGGGCAAGCTCTCAGAATATCTGGGCTCCTCGGGGGCTTCGCGGCCCTGCGAGGCGTTACCGGGCAGAGGCGCCAGAGACTCTGGGAGGCTGGAGAGCCATCTCAGCGAGGCTTTCGGTTTTAGGTTTTAGGGTCTAGGATTTAGGGTTTAGGTTCTAGGGTTTACGGATGCGATTTTTCTTTGTTCCTTGGTTCCACATCGGAACATGATTAAAAAGTTAAGGCTCGCATCCCTGATTTTTCGAGCATATGACTCCATTCAAAACGGGCCTCCAGCATAAGAACGCTTAAACATTGATGGCAACAATCACGTATTTGTAAGGCCCGGAAATCGTCATACAAAGGGAATATTTTCGGATTGGGAAACATCGGCAGGCACCGGGGACTATACTTTCAACCTCTAAAGCCTAAACTCTAAACAGCGCGGTAACTTTATCGTTCAAGTTTTGGCTTGTAGGCTCTGCTTCGTCCGTTGGAACGGAGTGGTGGGACTTATTGCTGGCAACGACGTTATGACCCTTATGCACCCCTTTACGCCAAAATGCTTTCTTTTTGCTGTAATCATTCTGCGCCTCGTGGTTGTTACTTGCGTTGTTGTAGGTGCTACTACTTCCACCAGCACTGCTGTTGCTGCTGACCGCAAAAGCTTTGTAGCAAAAGGGCTTAACTCAAGCCGGGCGAAAGGATTGCTATTCGATTTTTGACGCCTCTAGGCTCGGTGATCGCTCCGATCTGAGGATGCTGCTTCTGCGTGGAATTCCTCACCGTTTCAGCGAAGCGTGCGCAAGCCTCTGTTAGGGCTTGATCTTTGTCAGGTTTAACAATTCAGCTTCTGGGTTTAAGACTTGAAGGGGTTGACATGGAGGGTGAACTCATGTTGCTCAACATGGTCAGTAGTATGCACTATAGTCTTGCTGCTTGAAAGCAGCCCTTGAGGACTCTTTCCAAGTAGATAGAAATGAACAGCCTGTGGATCCCTCTCACATAGCTTCATGGGGATCCCAGCCATAAGGACTTTAGTACATTGGGGTCTACATTGGCTTCTCCCCTTTTTGGGAAACTATGACATGTTCAAGGCAACCCGAAGTCGAACATTTGGGGCCCGTCTCAGGGAAAGACCTACAAGGGCGAACGGCTTCAACAGCTTCGGCTAGCTGCCTCTTAACGTGCTAGATTCGCGACCCAGAATGGAAAGACTCCACAACCCAAAGCGAACACAAACACCCCAAACCGAAACCCTAAGCCCGAACCTCAAACACTCACCCTTTGAACCCGAGCATATGACCCAAACCCTGCAAATAAGTTGTGCCTCGCGGAGCTGGTCAGCACTTTCAGATGACTTCGCCTGCGGACAAGATGGAGCCTAGGGTTCACGGTTTGGGGTTTGGGGTATAGGGCTTTAACAATCATAGGAGCGATGTGACGCTTGAGGGTCTGCAGGGACGGATGTATGTATATATATATATACACATCGATGCATAAAAAGTGCGTGTACGATGTATATACATGTTTTTATATGGTACAGAACATGTCTGGGGCTCAAGGTTAGTAAATGCAGGCGAGATTCTGGGAGCCCGTGCTCAGAATTGTACACTATAACTCCTTTGCCGAAATTTCTGGCCAAATTCCCAGCTGGCTCAAAAGCATTCTCAAATCCTCCATCAGAGATCATTTGATTTGTATACGACATCTTTTAATCCCCCCAGCTTGCTGGTTGCCCTGGGCCTATGGGAAGGGCAGCTGCTCCAAATCGTACATGCCGAAATCGAAAGCATCGGGCAGGTAAACCCTCTTTCTGAGTGGTTCAAGAATCCTATGTGGTGCATAGGGGGTATAGGGACATTACCCGCAATCATGGAGAATCCAATGTGGGTTGAGGGGATAATATCTGCGTTTTTGGGCTTACGGAACAAGTAACTCGCACAACTTAATCAGAAAAGCAATTTATCTGAAGAAAACGCAGCGTCCCTATAAGCCCTGAACCCTAGACCAGAATCCCAAAGCTCTTAAGCCAAGCCCATGAGCTCAAAGCATACCTGAGGTATCAAAATGACTGGCCGTGGCCTCTTGCGTGCGTGCCACAGCTGCGTTTTTGTGCGCAACCTCCGCCTCTCCGCGGCTCCTCGCGACTCCCAGGCCCCCAAATGCGGGTTTCAGGCTTTGCTGGGAGCTGGCATTGCGCCCCCGCGCGAACACATGGGGTGCGGTAAAAAGGGCCGTAGTCTCTCTCAATGTTGATAGAAGCAAGGGTGTTCGTGTCACCATGGTGGTTGTGATGGACACGGGTTTGGTCGGTAACGCAGGCTGCAGAAATCGAAGCAGCGGCCTGGGAGTACACTTGTATTTACAATTCTCCTGCATAGGCCAGACATGGGGCTTTCCAAAAATTCTAGGATCCTTGTTTGCGGTCCCCATGTCAAGGACTCGAGCATTTTGAACATACTTTGCTCGAAAACTACCATTCTATGAGGAGCTGTGCTTGCTTCTAAAAGTTGAAGCTGATTAATCCCTGGCCTCGCCATCCGCTCTTGCAGGTCTGCGATCTCAGCTTCAGCCTTGGCCAAAGCGTCCTGGCAGGGACTCAACGCAGTGGCTCAGGCCTGGTAGGCTGTCAAAAATGTGGTCCCTTTTGGGTTTTTTCGTGTGTGTAAGGTATCCGGAAAGGAGACCATACTTTTGATAACCTTGCATAGAATGCTGCAGGTTGAGAATGGACTTCATCATAGCTATGGGAAGATTACACGAAGCAATTCTTCAGCATTGCCTAGGGTACAGTCATAGGGGACTCCCAGATAGTACAGACCCCCTGAAAAGGACACTTAGAACATACTTAGAAGGGAAGCTAGACGTCGTTACTTGAAGGAGCTGTCCTATCCGGGGATCTACCTGCAGAAAATTCTTCAGGGGATGCAAACTGACATGAGAAAATCTACTCTTGGAAGTAGCGATACAGCTACTTGTCAAGCTCGGTAGGTCTTCTGCAGGATGGAAACCGGACAGAATGCAAACAATTCTCCCTCAGATTCTTCGTATGCTTATCCTGACCTAAATTACAACCCACCCCGAAAACCCTGCTTTTTCTTTTGCCATAAGTACCCTTCTTGGGGCAGAAGCTACCTGTGGGGCAGAAGCCACCTGTTGGGGGCTTCCTGCTCCGGGCTAGTGTGGGCAGCTTGACTCTGGACTAATTATCTCCCTCTAAGACAACCTCCCCTACCCCGTGTCAAGGAAAACTCTGCCCTATTACACGAAGGCACTTTATTTGGAGCGTTTGTTGTTCAGAGGGTAGAGGGGCGAGGAACAGGGACTCCTTTGAAATGCTGCGACTCCAGGCGGATCCGCTTGTCCTTATGATGCATCAGTTACAGTACCGCGCTCTTCACGTCCTTGCAATAGGAACCCATAAAACTTCCGGGCCTGCGCGGTGGAGCCACTTGTTGTGGCTCTTTCCGCCTCGCTTGCGAGGAGAACCTGCAGCTAGATTCGGGTGATTTGGGTTCGTTTCTGCAAGTCCCTAGTTTGAGGACTGTACAGCATGGTTTGGTGCATGGGGGGGATCCTCCTTTGGGCAACTATCTCGCTTTTGTGTTAGGTGCCCGGCTTTGACAGGGACAAGGGATTTAGATTTCGCACCTGAACAAATCGGTTAGATTCTGGAAGTCCTGTGAGCCCTGTTGATCGGATGGCACCAAACCCTTGTGGTAAATTACGCATGCTATTCCTGGGGAGCATCCAAAGGATGCAGATCGCGCCCTTTCAAAAACCGAGGCCTCTGCTGCCCGAAGGCAAGGATGTGGGTTTCATACACATCGAAGGAGCCAGAGTTGGGGCAAAGTCCTACCCCTTCATTGGCTAACTGGCGGTCCGCCAGCAAAGCCGGGCACCTCAAATCCCTTTTGACAGTGGTGATCCGCTGCACCGCTCTACCAAATCATAACATGTTGCCCAGGGCAAACCCCAAAATCTCAACTCATAAAGCCTCCATGCAACATGCACCTGACACGATTTTGCGGCAGATCATAAAATAGCCTGCCTTATCGGAATCGATCTCCAGTCTTTGCTGGTCGCGCCCGCGGGCAAGCCGCGTGGTGCGGCTTATTGAGTGTCAACTCTTGTGGCTGTGTCTCAGAAAAAGGCTTCCCTCTCACAGCTCCTCCTCTTCAAACATCTCTAGCCCTTGCCGCACCACAGGTGAGCTTCAGGCCAACAAATTCTCTGAGAGGTCCGAGGCATCTCGGCCTGGCGCCCTGCGCCAGCGGCTGCCTACTGCTGCAAGCCCAAGGAATAGCAGGCCAGGAGCCAAGAAAAGCATGCGGTGGGATGACTCGCGCAGCACCTGCCAAGGAAAAACTCAAGAATTTGGGGGCTAGCGGCCAGCTAGGGTTGCCCAAGTTTGACGGGTAGCCTGAAAAAAAAGAAGAAACCAGTCCCATGTCTGTGTGCAGTTGCAAAAGGTGCCCAAAAGGCTTGAAATGGGGCACAATCTTGACATGACCCGCATACCACGGGAGGAAACGCAGAAAGAGTGGAAGGCATGCCACAAAGAGGCCAACTTTCCGACATGGCTCCTGTCATTGGCTGGGGCCTGGCTACCTTCCCAGAATGGGTTTAGGGTCTAGGGTTTAGGGGTTTAGGGTCCCCAATCGGCCTTGCCACAAGTACGGACATGACCTACTGAAGCAAGCTCCGGCAATGGAGCGGGTTGGAACACTTCCTGAAGGGAAGCTGAGATTGATGGTCATGATGTGAGCCATAATCTCAGCTCCTAGTATACCCCTTAATAACCCCCATAGTAGTCCCCTATATAATTCCCTCTATGACCCCCCTTTAGGTCATTCTTGCGTAGGGGATCCCCGAACATGGGGATTGTCGGATCTACGGAATTCTGACAACACGCATCTTGGTCCCTGACCTTTGACAGCTCCATAGCCCATGCCATCCTGGGCTGCTTTTGGGGAACTTTTGAGTTAAGATACCATAACAAGGAAAGCCCTATCATTTACTATATACCCAAATTATGATGGCTTACCTTAAGTTCCTAAAATCTCTATATTCCCACAATTTCCATTTCATTTTCCATTTTCTTTTCAACTAATAGGTCCGTAATTTAAGCTCCTTAAGAGCAACCCAGCATCCTGGCCATGGTAGCAGATGCCGAGGACAGGAGCATCACCGGCTTCTGCACGTCGCTGTGGATGCCTTTCTTCTTGCCTGGGCAGTGATGAAGTCGTTGCTTTGGATAGAGTCTGGCATTTAATGGGACACAACGGGGCAAGTAGCTTTAAAGACTACACAGGGAAGGAGAAGGTTAGGCTGAATTTCTGCGTACGAGCTCCAGAAATGTGAACTGCCAGCTGAGAAGATGAGTATACGCACCAAGCCACAAGATCTTACTTGCAAGGGCCAGGACCAACTCCGACCATGCTCAAGGCCCAGTGCAACAACAACAACAACAACAACAACAACAACATCCAATATCCGTTGACTTTTAAGCTCAGCATGCCACTCATCTTAAAATCCAAATTCTGAAGAACTGGGGTTCTCCAGGCGCTGCAAAGGTACACTCCTTGGCACCCTCTGCGAAACTGCCGGTGAAGTTGTCCACGATGTCATGGCAAGGGGACAGCAAGAACTTTGTACCATCATCTTCCTGTCGCACAGGAGGGCAAAAGGCGCAAGGAAGCAGGTTGACAGTTGCCGTAGGTCAGGATTTAGGACTTTGAGGGGATTGGGGATTAGAGGCTTAGGGTCTCTAGGGTTTGGGGCTGGGCAACCCCCAACGGTCTATATGTCCAGTGAGCTTGTGCCCTAAGCCAGCGTGTAAGGTTTAGGGTAATTACCGGCTGATCCTGTTACTGCTGATTAAAGGGAATAAGGGAATCTGAGGTGGCATCAAAATTACGTGTTTGGTCTCGATTGGTTTTTGAATCAGGGCGTTCCTTGTCGATTTCCACGTTTGGGGGATCTTCTCTTAACCCTAGCTTAAATGAATGAAGCCTATAATCTTAGGACGTCCCCTATCGATCTTGGGGGTCTTTGCGCAACAACTACTGCCTAGACTAAATGGAGGTTTAGGGTGCAACCCCTATATAATCTCTGTAGGCTCTTTAGAACATATTCCCCCATCCCCTGCTAACCACCAGTAAGTCCTTGAACGTCTGACAGCACTTGTCCAAAGCGCCTTTCCTCAGTTGTTCTGCTTGTTTGCAAGTAACAGAAAGAAGAAGTGCGGTGTCAAGAAAGGTCCAGTAGCTCTGTCTTCCCTGAGCTCCCTTGAAGTTTCACAAGACCTCATCCAATACTCTCAATAAAAAGGGTTCTCCCTATCATTAGTAGAAACAGGTCGGCCTACGTCCATTCCCAATGGTAGCTTCCTGCTTGGAATTTCGCGTCCCCAACTACCCACGCCCCCTCCGATGATTACTAGACCTATTGCTGGTAGAATTGGTTTAGGACTTACGGTTCAGAACTGTTGGCATTGTTCGTCGTATTCTTACGACCTGTTTCCAAAAGCCTAACAGGAACCTAAACATGACCTCTATATAGCCCCTTTAGAGTAGTTTCCATTTTCTTTTCCATTCTCCCTATAAAACCTAGGTTCACGGAGGGCTTGATGCTCTCCAGCACATAGACAACCTGGCAGCCGCAGTATCGGCACTCTTTGTCAAGCTTCGGGTCTCCGCCATCCTCCAAGAGATCAACATGCATAGGGGATTATAGGGATCATAGTCTAAACTCCTAGTATTCCCCTTAATAATGGAGAATCAAATGGAAAATGAAATGGAAACTGTCATATATAGGGTTATGTATTGGATTATAGTCTAAACTCCTAGTATCCCCCTTAATGACTCCTATTTAATCCCCCATATAGCCCCCCTTTAGGGAGTTCAGGCTATAGTTGATGTAATTTGGAAGAGGCCCCTGTGCTCCCCTGGTGGTCCCTACATTCCCAAGCATTCCTAGGAATTTCTCCTTTTATGCTTGGGATCCTGATTAGGATGCGGTTGTTGGGATCTACAAGCGAAACGCGCATGTTGACGGTCAGCCATGCAAGTGCGCAGCAACCAGCCTATTGCCCAGTGTATGCCTGCAGTCTCGATGCCTCGCCCTACTTTACACGCTGACCCCCTCGTCATTAAATAGAAAGTAATTACTCAGGGTGCATGGAACACATGGACATGTATCGTGCTTCTAAACCCACAAGTAGCCGTGACCAGCTGACTCACAAGCCTTTGTGCGCTATTGTCCTCGTCCCCGTCGCAGCCCTGACCTGTCGGAGTGAGGATGTCTACATGGCTCTAGTTCTACCATACTTTGTGCTTTCAACTGGTTACTTAACTCCTTAGTCGTTAACATGGTTGCCAGCGAATGATGCTGTGCTAGATCGCTGCTCATAGCTTTCCCTGTACAATAGCCAATGCTTTCTGTTGACGCTTTCAGTACTTGGGATTTAGATTCAATTTTTTTGAACTACACCCACCCCAGCAATACTCTGAACTACAATTGTATCTGTATACTCTAACCCTGGTAGAATCTCAACATTTATTCAATCAACCCTTCCTAATCGCATAGGGGCGCTTCCACAAAAAAAGGTTCCCCACTGTGTCCCCCAACATACAGTACTCTTTCTTCCACACTCCTAGAAGGGGACTTCTTTTCTTGAACCAATAGTCTTAGTGGTGGTTAGTAGGGAATAAGGGAATACAATCCCTATATAATCCCTATGGAATATATTCCCCTATTCCGTACTATAACCCCAAACACAGTAGATACCCTATTATATTGTTCATTACCTCTATATAATCCCAATGTATCTCCTACTAAGCCCTAAACCCTAAACCCCAAACCCTAAACCCTAAACCCTAAACCCATTCCTTCTTGTTAGTAGCCGGATGGCAGTCATCCCAGGCGAGCTCACGGCACTCCAAAGGAAGTTCTGCTTCCACGGTCTCGTTGGCAAGCTTTACCTACTGGCTCTTAGTTTAGGGTTTAGGGTTTTAGGGTTTAGGGTTTAAGGTTTAGGATTTAGGGAGTAAGGGAATATAATTTAGGGGTTAGGGCTTAGGGCTTAGGGTTTGGGGTTTTGGGTTAATTAGTAGGGAATAAGGGAGTATAACCCCTACATACTCCTTTTACGATACATTCCCATGTTCCCTACTAAGAATCAGTGAGTTTACTTAGCAAAAGTCTGAAGATAGCAGCGTCCGACGATGAACAGGTATCTTTACTTACCGTGACTTAACAGGGTAATATTCTTTATAAGGACTTTACAGGGAGTATATCCCCCTACAAGTATAATGTCCCAAAATAATCCCCACACATTCTAGTAGTTTCCATTTTCTTTTGCGCTATTCCCTACATATATGTGTGTATATGGATTGTTGGCACGGATTCAAAGGCTTGGGGACTGCATCTCAAAAACTGCTTAAGATGATCTTAAGGGAGCCACTGAGCCGTGAATACTCCGAATGAGGGCACACCTGTACGCCTCACCTGGTTGAGGGTTTAGGGCAAGTTTAGGGTTTAGGGTTGTGCATATTGAAAGTGGATATCGATTTTGAGGTATTTTTAGGAATTTGCACCTCGGCGATGGTGCAGTTCAAGAACCCTTCCAGGACCTCGTGATGAGCTTGCACCCATGTTGCCTCGATCATTGTTGAGGCACACTTGAAAAGCGCTCAGTGTTCCACAGGAAAGTAGAGTAACACCAACAGCAACCAAGTTGCAAGTGGCAGGGCCAGAAGACCGAAGACAACGCTAACAACTGATAATAGAACCAAAAGGGCGAGCATGAAACCGCAGAGAAAGCCGCCGAAACAGCAGCAACCCGCCTTCAGGGTGGAAACGTCTACTCCCAAAATGGTGTAGAGATCCATGTGCATGCGCTAGAGGCTGCATAAGGTCCTGCGTACCCACTTTCAGCATGTAGGAACTGGTTGGTATTGGAATTGAAGAGAGGGGGCCAATTTGCCTGGACTGTGTGTCGTGCTAGGCAGAACTGTGAGTATACCAAGACATTTTCCCTGCTGTCTCGCGCCTTACTGCAGCAACAGCAGCAACCACCGCAACGACCGCGGCACATCGCTTCAAATCGCGGGAGGTGGCTTCGATGTCACTCGTTGAGCCACTGTGCTTCGGAGTTTCGGGCTTGAAGCCTGAGAGTCGAGACCTAGCCCCTCCTGTTGTTCAAAAGCATTTGCTAAGGCCTACCGGTTCAGAAGTCAAAAGCCTGCGAGACCTTGGGTTGTCCTTCCGAACCCCTGTGCTTTCCTTGCTTCGAGTGGCCTGCCTTGCGTGTAGTGCGACAGTCTGGGGTTCGGCCCTGAGACGTAGGTCAACAATGGCACGGATTTCACACTCAGCATGTAATCTTGGCTGTCGACAACCTGCTATACATCCTGAGCAGCCCTAACGTTGTAGAATTTGAGTATATGTTCTGCGTGCTGCGCCCTGAGGCCCATCCCTAACTGCTCCTTTTCTCTAGCTGGGACTTGAGGGGATCAAGTTAACCAGACCTAGCGACCCTTCTTCTGCTTGTTTTGCCTACAAGCTTCCAATCCTAAGCCTATAAAGCTCCAAAGCATAGTCATTGAAAGGACCCCCAGAAGTAACCGCAAACTTCACCAAATCTGTGTATCATCCCTTTTCCAAAAGCTCCATTCTTGGGATTATATCCCTAAACCCTCTTTATCGCTTTATATCCCGGTTCCTCTATCATGTTGTATGAGCCCTTCTCACAGTGCCTGCTGATCTTCCAGCCGCTCTCTTCGGCTTTTCTCAGCGCTGAGCTCCTACTCATCCAGTGGATAAGCCTATAGGAAGCCTGGGGCTTTTCAATGGATAATGGGGTCTTTTTGAGGATTCTATAAGGGAACCGTATAAGGATTGCTTTCATCAAGTCCCGCGTGACATGTTGCATGTGACGCATCAAGCCACAAGGCATACCAATCACAAAACGTGGGGCCAAGGCTTGCAGATGCTCAAATGAGGTCCAAAGGTAGTCATGGTAGGTACTGGAACAAGAGGGAGAGTAAGCATGATGATAAGACTTCATGGAGACCCGCGAGATTGTCCTGAAAACTGGGATCGTGCCTGCAATTAAGACTCCCATAGCCAAACTTGACATTCCCAGGAACGGTGACTGCTCTAACTCTCTCTTACCAGCATCACTACAACATCATAAATCCGTGTTGTGTAAGCAGTGTGTGACTTAATCAAGCCCTTACACCCCAGAATCCAAGGCCTTGCGCCCAAATGCCAAAGCCAAACCTCTGCAGGCCCTAAACTGGGCTGCTGCTAAGGAACCGACATGGTAACCTGAATTAAGCTAGTTGCCGTTGAAACAGGAAAGTCCATTATTTGCGACATATCCGTCTTACGGTAACTCAGCTTGAGTCCCTTAACATCCCCAGTACAGTCCTAAACCTACTGCGGAGTAGTAGGAAATAAGGGAATATATTATGTAGGAATTATACTCCTCTACTCCCGACTATTCTTCAGGAAGTAAAATATCCCAATATAACCCCCACATAGTATAGTAGTTTCCATTTTCTTTCCCGTTAGTCCCTATATATAGGGAGGACATTCCCTTATTTATTTGCTACAAAGAATAAGAACCAGCAAGTAAATCCAGGCCTGTTGGAGCCTCTCCGCCTCCTTCTGAGCTGCTTCCGCCTGACGCTGGGCGGCGGCAGCGGAGGCTTCGAGGCCTCAGCGCGCTTTCAGAGTAGGCGAGTATTCAGAGGTGTATAGGGCAAGTACATGCATACACGGGTCTCTCTCTCTCTCTCTCTCTCTCTCTCTCGCTCTGTGTATATATATATATGTGTGTGTGTGTATATTTGTTTTAGAATCAAAATATATTGAGGTATGAAGGGTTCTATTTAACGCTTCTGTCTGGATTCTGTACCTAAAAGGTGGGCTCGACTTCCTACTTGTTGTGGAGGATTTGGACTATTACTATGAGGGCTTTAAGGGACCCAACTGAAAGTATGTCGGGCCCTCATGTCGGAGAAGCAACTTCGTATAGAACCCATGGAGAAAGCAGCAACCATGTTCCTTTAGCCTGCTGTTACGGGTTGTAAGGTTTAGAGTTTAGGCTTTATAATTCTTCTAATATCCACTATTCAAACCCTGTTATCATAACACTTGCAGAGCCCACCAAAAAATCCTAAACTCTGTGAACACCAACAAGACTCGTAGTTTCCATTTTATCTCCAAATTTCTTGCCAATTTGATTCTCCACTATTTGTTCGAAACTCCTTAACTCCTAAGCCCTAAACCCCTAAACCGAAGCCCCGAAAATGCAACGAGGCCCAGGCGGACTGCTTCGTCCTGAGCAGCGCGAAGAGCAGCCTCAGCCTCTGCAAGCCTGGGTTTAGGGGTACCTTTAAAGGGGATATAGGGGTCGTTTAGGAGTTATATAGGGGCATATAGGATTAATGGTTTAGAGTGTAGGGTTTAGGGACTGCATGCCGTGGGGGGGGGGTGGGGGGGCCAATGAAGGAAAAAGAAATGGAAACTGAAACTAAGCTTTCAAAGGATGATATGGATTTCCAGAGTATATACTTAGGGAGTATATGAGGATCATACAGGAATAGACAAGCAACAATTGAAATTACTGTTTAGGTTTAGGACTTAGGAAAACAAAACCGACAGAAAAAATGACCAAGAATCCGAGTGGTTTCCCTAACCCCTAAACCTAAGTAGTACAGTAGTGCCCCTTTCCTTTTCCATCATCCCTATATAAACCTATATAACCCTATATCCATATCCTAAACCCTAAGACCTAAACGGCAAGCCGCGGCTGGGTGCCCCAACTGCTAGTCATTCACCTGACCTTCTTGCATGGAGAATCTCTAAGAGCAAGGGGCTTGGGCAGTGCCTGCAGCGAGGTCACCTTGCTAATATTCACAGTGTTGGTGGTGGCAACTGGAGCAGAAGCAGTGGTACTAGTACTGCAACAACTTCTACTAAAACCTATAACTATAATGCTAGTGTGATCAAAATAACTCCACGAGTAATACTAAAGAAAATTGGAAATAGATGTATGATGACCAGAACCCTAAAATCACATCCTGGATACCAAAAGAAGTCCAAGTCAGGCTTCCCCTGTCCTTGCAGCAACGCTCCTAGATTCCCTCCTTTTGGAGACATAAACATTCCCATATACCTATATAGCTTCAAAAAGATTGGACAACTATACCATTAATAAATCAGGGGGAGTGAAGAGGAGACAGAGAAAGGATTGCACATCAAGCTCGATACTCAGGACGTCCTCATAGAGCCTTCGAAAACAAACAGCCATGCTACTGGGCTTTTGGAGAAAAATCCTCTAGAAGTACCCATGGCATTCCTAAACAGCAACCAGCATCTCATATGCGTGTTTCCCAGATGTAGGGGCATCTGCTTGGGGGGTCACAATGATAAGGATTAACATATTTTCGGGTCTATATTGGGGTCCTCTAATTTAGGGAAACTGCCATAGAAGCCTCGCGTAACCCCTATCACCCTCACCCCCCCCCGCCCCAAAAGACCCTTTCAACCTACCAATCTCAATCCGAAAGGCTCGTGCGCTGCAGGGCCGTTATCGCCTTGCAGCTCGCTAAGCTCTGCCTCCAGCCTCTCGACTTGCTTCTATGGGGATAGTGGAAAACACAATGGAAGCTACTAGATTATAATAGGGCCTATATTGGGGTAATAATGGGTCTGTATAAGGACAATAGAAAAGAACATGGAAACTACGCTATAAAAGGGTAAGTATATAATCAGGTAATACTAGGGAATGGGGAATATATTACGTCAGGATTAAACGGGCCCTGCAGTGGAGACAGGATTGCGTTGGGTCCAGGGAGGGTACGTACCTCATTTGTCGGTAAATATCTATTGCCTGGCATTACATGCAGTAGGGATTAGTGTGCCCAGGGTTTATTTGAGCGTCACGGTCTAGGGACTTGACTAGAGGGTTCAGTTGCCTGCACGAATCTGTGCTCCACTGTATCATGTAAGTTCATGGGGAAGCATCGTAGAGTCATGGCGCTATGCAATTCAGGATCACTTCCTTCAAGGTTGGAAAACCCAAACCCTAAACCCAGCAAGGACCTGCCAGACATCAGGTTGGTTTGTTTCGTGTTAGGCCAGGGTTCTTTCTATGCAGTTGCCGGATGTGGTCAGCCAATCCACCGGACGCCCCTTCAGGTTACCAAACAAACTTACTAGCGCATACAGAAAAACCTGCGTTTCGTCACTACTGAAACCCTGAGACCTACATAGCTGACAAATCCAAAACATTCCAATTGCGGAGTTCTTCGTCAACGTGTTTCCACCGCAATACTTTTATTCACATTCTGAGCACCCCTGAAGAAGGGCCTCAAATTCTCAAAATGAGCTTATCGACTCAAAGGGTTTAGGGTGAGACCCTTTCAAGGAACCTTGAAGCCTGTGACTGTACCCGAAGCCCCAGACCCTAAACCCTAAAACCCTGGAACCTCAAAGCCCAAAACAAAAACCCCCAAAACCCTGAACCCTAAAACCCAAAAACCCTGAACCCTAAAACCCTGGAACCAAAAAACCCTAAAACCCCATGCCCTGAACCATAAACCCTCAAACCCAAGCCCCAAAAAACCCTGAACCCTAAAACCCAAAACCCCGAACCCTAAACCCTTAATCTCTGGCATTTGCTGGGGTCGCCGCCGCTGCACTGAAGTCTCAAGGTTGGATGCCTGGCTGTAGGTGGTTACAGGGACATACAGGTGCGTTTTTCGAGGTCAAAAAACCCGGCTTTTTAGGGAACTATAATAGGACTGCTGTCACGATTTTGGGGTAGATCTTTGGAAGATGTTAGGAGTTCGGGCTTCAAATGACGGATGTAGGGTTGAAAGGCCCAGGCGTTCGGTTTAAACGGTTGGCGCTGAACCAAAACAACATCCACCATCACCCCCAAATCCACAAGAGGGCAGCACTCAGTAGGTTGCAGATGATGCCAAGACGGCAAGTGCTTATTGGGAATCCTAGATGCCCGTCTTTAGTTCTCAGACTTCGCGCTTTTTTAGAGGCAATTCAGGAGCTATCTTCTTACTCTGT